CAGTTGAAGGTTAACAAAGTGCCACGATAGCCACAGCAGAGAACAAGGCCCGTAACTTTGGGTATAAACCCGTGTCTCCCAGTGGGAAAATATTCGTAAAGTCTGTTTCAGTTCAGGCGGTGAACAGACGCCGCCCAGGTATAGATTCCGCCCGAATCCGTCACGTCTAAGGCACGCGAGGGTGTAGCGGAGCTCGAACGAACGAAGAAATCCCCGGGGCACTCGAAATCACCGCGTTAATTCCGATGTGTCTGGAAGTGGCTGAGCCACCGGGCTCGCGGTACCGGTGTTGCTCGTATACAGGTAACGAAAAAAAAAAAAAAAAAATCGTTATGTGTGTGTGTGTTCAACGGTGCGTCTGGTGGAGCTTCGCGGGGAGTGTTGATGGTTCGGTATTGTTGGTGAATGGCGTCGGTAAGCGTGCAAGTGGTAGGAAGCGACGAGACGGAGGGTACTTGACGTTTGAGGACTGTGGTGCTTGTGTCAGCGTTGCGCCCCACCTGCCTGTCTTTCTCCACCCACCGCCCTCCCCCCTCCACGAATAACCACTACAGTTCATTGTTTAAACGGAGACAATAAAGTGAACGTCAACCGACATGTCTTCCTAATATTTACGAGTTCCAGTGACTTTCATTGGTTTTTATCATCTTTAAATCCTGCTTGATTAGAGGGTCGAGAGAACATTGGTGGTGATACTTGATACTTTCGTGATGTGGAGTTATACGTGGTGAAGATTATGAGGGGATTAGCGTGAGATGTATCGCTGCGTCGTGAGAAAAGTGTCACATTGAATGTTTTTAATTGCCGTTTTATTTAGTGAAATATCTTCTAATAGGTAGGTCCACCATCCAGAATAATGTCGTAGTGATAATGTCTTCGATTTAAATCTCTGCCTATGTCGTCGGTGTATAATCTCATTTCGAATATGTAAAAAAATCTTCATACGCGAGGAACACGTACGTTCGCGAATTTGTTCCAGGAAGCGTAAAAAATTCAGATACCTATACAAATTACGCACGCATAGTTACGAGACAAGTTTTCCAGCTCAAACACCCTCCATCGGATGGAAGGACCAGATTCTAGCTAGCGTAGCCTGTCTGTACCTGAAAGTGTAATGAATAATAAGTGGACTAGGCTACAAGCTGTCCAGAGATTTTATCGAGCCCACTGTCAACATCCAACTAATATCCCGTACAACGTGGCAGATTAATTGGAACCGCCCCCGAGGTCTAAGCAGCATTTTCAAGGGGTTTAAATCGCGTTCGCATGACACCGGTGTCTCCAAGCACTATGACCCACGGCAATGGATGCAGTTTCCATAGACTTTGAGAAGGAGTCATGATAGCCAACGACCCAGAAGACGGTGTACACGGTATACCTTTAGGGAATAGGACGACGTCATCGGGTAATAACTCGTTTTTTGCTTGACTTCCTTTAACGCAGTGATGGGCAACTCAGTGCCCGCGAAACTCACTGGCGGGCAACGGTGTGCAGCGTGCGGGCATATGACAGTGGTGGGTGAAATGTGCGAATGAGAGCGCGTATTTATCATTTACTTTACGCACAAATATTTCGTGAATCATGTCTCGTGACATGTCCTGCTTCGCAACCCCTCCACAGGAGTACATCTATCGAATGTCACCAAGAATGAAAATTTCGACGACAAATGTATGAAAAACTATTCCATATGAAGCTTTGAACATCGTACGGAAGATTTACAAGTTACAGAAGAAGAGGTTATTTTTAGTGTTATAAGACGGAGTAATGTGTGTTGTGCTGCAATAATGCAGAAAACCCTGCACGTTTGTGGCGCCCCCACCGCTTTGGTGGCGAAAATTGGAACTAATCCCAGAACTTCTTCGATAGTTCGCAAAGACGCCACCAGATGGCGCTGCTTAAAAAGTTTTCGAATTAGTTCCAATTTTCGCCGCCGAGATAGTGGGGGCGCCACTAAATGTCCCATAAATTCCAAAAATGTTCCGGCACATTTCGGAATCCAAGATGGCGGAAAAACGATGGGGTCATAGAACCCCTGCAGGAAGTCAGTTTTTGCCGTTTCCTGCGCTTTTTTAAAAGTGTTGGGAATGTATTATTTTGCTATTATTTATTGTTTTTTATTATGTGTTTGATGAATGGAAATTAGGGATGGGAGTGGAGATAGGGCGGGATTAATGAATAACGCATATGTATGATGTGACTGTTTTTTAGTGAAAAAGCGTAAGAAAATATTAATAACAATTGCCTTAAATACTACTTATACATAATACTACTTAATATAAAGGCAACATTTTCGCGTGGCCAACACACGATCAGGTTGCTTCTATCTTTTTTTATTAAAAATAAACGTAAATGATTATTAATCCATACGAGTGATGCTCCAGTTTAGAATAAAATGTGCGGGCAGAGTCAAAGAATCCCAATACACAAATATGTCGTGAGGTAATAATTCTAGCTGCTATTATGCTTCCTTTTCTACAAAGAGAACTTTTCTTTCATAAACTTGCGGTCGCTTTCACGCTCGCCATCACCTATCCGCCGGACACATCCTGTTCTGCCGGCGGACCCGTTTTCGACGATGTTATTTTTCACATCACCCAGCGAAAAAGTTTCATCGCCCGACTGGAACAAATAAATTGTCTGCGGAAATGCTCGCGGTCATCGACCAAGCTTCTTCTACACCCCCAAAGCTTGCTTCTTCTTTCTGTCGAAGAAACGCCGCGCGTGCCTTTTGCTCCCCGACAAATTAATACACGTGTCAATTTCAGTCCAAGGTCTGCGAAGAAAGCATTTCGGAAATGGTGACCAGTTACGTGCTCGTTGTCCATTATTTTTAAACGTAACATTACTGACATTTTCTCTTTACGATACTTTTGACTCCGTCGTTTCCTTTCCCGTAAATAAATTGCGGATTTTTATGCAGAATGAGTTTTCTAAAGTAATCCATGAAGACAAAAGCAAGGGATGTCCTTCTCTTAACACTATAACTACCGAAGATGAACGTGTTTCTACTTCTGTCACGTTGGTGAAAGTGATAGCTTGCTGAAAATATGCAAATCGATAAATTAACAAATTTCTTTGCTTGTATATTGATATAAAAGTTGGAAAGAATCTGAGAAAATTGGATGCTTTGGTAGTTCTAATGTTAAATATCATAAATCTTAAGTATTTCCCAAAGTCCTATAGGCTATATCCGCGGTTTACTCATAAATATTGAGTGATCTTCGCGTATAAGGTACTGACCTTTCAACAAATAGATCAATTATTCTAGTTGCTGATAAATATGCAGGAAAAAAACGAGATTAAACCGAAACTTATACAAAGCATTAATTTTTAACTTTATTTTTCGTACGGTGCCTGGTTCTGTTTTTATAGAATATTACCCAGAAGTTCTACACTGTATTAACTGTTATAACAGCTTAAATATGCGATCCTTTAATTGTTTTGAATAGTGTATAATCTCTATCCTGTCTTATTGTGAACGAGAATGAAGCGTGTTTCGGATGTGTGAAATCGTAAAAAATCATTTGATCTTTTTACGCTTCCACTGCTGTATTTAATATTTATTTATTCAAATACCGAACACAGTTCACGTCGACATCGATGTCGAATCTCCGTGTTGCCATTTCCGTCGCGTGGACTGATTTTTAGTATTTTTGCCCGGAATTTTCGCCTATGGACGCGTCGCCGTTTTTCGTTGGTTAACGATTGACTCGTCGAAGCGGATGAATAAATTTACATTAATCTACATTAATGCAATACACACGAGTTGTTGACAGCCCGAGAATATGACGTGTCAAAATATTGCTCGAATACTTGTACAATTAACACGATTTCACAGACAGAATCATTCAAAATATTTAAACGCTTTACGATGCACATTAATTTGATTAATTTCGAGATTACGACACGTGTGGTACTAGAAGAAATAATGCAGGTTAGAGAATCATTTAGATTTTTTTAATAATTATTAGAAGGAGAACGATGAATATTTTCCTAAAATTTGTCTATTCTGTAGATATAGCAAAATATAAATAAATACGTTTTAGCCTTCCAAAGTAGCAAAGTTTCAAGAATTTAGGGAGATTTCCTTATTCATTCATATAAATTTATATGAATAACGATTAATACGTTACAATAAGTACAGATACAAACAAATTAATGAAATTAAATTACATAAGGAGGTTCTTTTTATGTCAGAAATACTGAACTGTGAGAATAAATTTTATCCATATCTGAATACGTTTTCGAGAAAACTGAAGATTTATGTAGAACGCATGCATTCGTGCATACGCTAGGAATGTAAATACGGCAGTTCATGAAGAAATATATTATCCTATTGCAATCAGAAATTCGAATACTAAACAAATATTCTTGTTTCTCCAACATGTGTTGTAATTAATTCAAATTCAGATCGACAGCAAATACTTCGATTGCTTCTCTTATCAGATTATACATAATGCCAATACGTAAACATATGTTTCTACGTGTCTAAACAGATCAAAAATGTAAATATCAAAATTTCTTATGGCAGAGTATTACCTTCTGGACAGGTCAAATTAAAAAACTCAGCAGTACAAATAATTGATTAATTACGAGTTGGCTATTATGTCATTCGTTTAATACTTCTATTTAAGTTAATTTTTATAAACACTAACATTGACATTGACACTGACATTATAAGCATTAACTATCTAAAGGCGTACATGTAAGTCCAATAAATACTACAAAGATAATGTACGTCCACAATCCGTGTTTACCGTAAGTAGAACCAGTAAATGATAGACACGTTCAGCCAACACGTTAAAAACTACGCATAAAAGGGTATTCTCTAACTAAACTCTCTGAACAACAAAATCAATCGTGAAACAATTATGTGTAATCGCTGGAAAAGATTGACTACAACAACAACAGTTCTTCGATAAAATGTCAATTTAAATATAACATACCTGTAGAACAACTCTTCGTAAAACTAAGTGGAACTATTTACAAAATTTCATCGATTAGTAAACAAGTGTAGTTTTATTAGACACGATTCTTTTTATTACACTCTACCTACATATCATGTACAAAAATTGTTCAAATTGACAAGATGATATGTTCCGTAATAAAGAGACTAACGAAATTCATATAAAAATAATAGTCGACCAACAATTCCACGATCATCAACACATGTTACATCATCTTTCATTTCTTCCCTTTCTTTTCGCTGGACTTTTCACAGACTGGACTTTGTGCCTCTTTATTATCGGACTGCTTCTCGTTTAAACTTAGGAAATGTGTCAAATGGAGAATGGAAATAACGCTTGATATGTATGACGCAACATCCTCTTTCTTCACTGTTTTCAATTGTGCCGCGACCGAATGGTACACGCGATTCGCTGTCTTCGCCGATAACTGACCAATCGTTTGTACGGCGTGCAAAACTTTATTCTCGTCGGCGGATACGGGCGCTGCAAAAAAGAATTTTTCACATTCAACATACATTTCCATTCATGAATATTAAAAGACCAATCGGATATGAAGCAAATGTAACAATGCATTATGAAATTAGTGAACGTCTGAAGTAAACATTCTTTAGAGGATATTAAAGTACGATGAACGACACATGCTAATGGACAGTTTATTACTGTTGTTAAACAAGTTTTATTAACTTGGCTTAACACATTTGCATCATGTAGACTAGATGTCCTAATATTTATGAACGATAGTGTGTACATTTAATTTCTTGATAAATACAGGGTGTTGGAAAAGTCACTATACATTTCCATGCTGCACGTGGACTGTCGAAAAGGTAATGAGACTGTTTTTGTAAAATCTTTTTTACATTAAGGTTTTAACAATGAGGATTACATTCTTCAAAATTATTAATTTCAGAGGTGACAAACCGATGGAGATGTTCCTCCAATTCCTCGAAGTAATGTTCGAATTTTTTATTAATTTTAAATAATTCCAAATGTACGAGAATGATTTTTAATTTCTGTTCATACAAAAAGGTAACAAAGATTACATTCTGATGAACAAAACCGATAGGGTCTGTTTGTAATTTCCTTTGAATCTCGAAACTCTCATTTACAATGAATACAGCCTGACAAGGAATTTATATTTGACTGTAACGAACTGATGATTATTAAATAATGACTCACTAAGATAATGATTCATAATCGTTTTGTGTCTAAGTCACTATCCAAGTCACTATCCAAGTCATTCATCAGGTGAAAATGATTCATTCCAATGATATTCAAATAATGACAACCTCATTGTTTTCGGAAGAATCCACTTTACATTGCTTTTGTCTATTTATACGATATATACATAACGTATGTTAAACATGAATAATAGAATTATAGTTGATAACTAGTCAATGATAAATGATCAATTTATTTTTGATACTAGTTTATTTTTTATTTATTTAACCATTTCTTCAATGTTTAATGAAGAATATTATTAAATGGTTACCCACGAAATGTCTTTATTCAATCTTACCTGGTGTATTCTCTTCGCCCTCAACCGGTGGGAAATAACGATCTAATAAAGCATTAATCAGAACACTCGTGTTGTCCACGCCTTGTACAGCCATATTACCATACGGTGTGTTCAACAATTCGTTAGCCTTCGTAATACTGATTTCCTTAAGGGAAGACGCTTGCTGCGTCGCAGATTCTTTCGCGGCGTTCAATTTGTCCATTGTTGGTTGCAGCGAACTGCTCATCACTGCCTTAGCTGCATCGTAAATCTGTAAAAAAAAAAAAGAAAAGAAAATAACAAGTTATATTCATGTCTGTTCATTCCATTTATATGTCCATGTAACGGTAAACTTGGAATTTATACAACGTCTCGGTAAAATTCTGTCAGCTTTCGAAAATAACGCTGCATCGTGGAAGAATTTATCTGAGACAAACATGTTATTACATCTAGATGCAAAAGAATTATACATCGAGCTTGTTAATGCTGAAGCAAATATTTTTTTAATCCATTACTCTATTTTAGTTGAAAGATAGATTTATTATTTGTTGATTGTAAACCGTGATTCTCCAACAAGTTATTGTCAGATGTTGGAAAATTTTACGTCCAACGGGACATTTTATCAAGGAAAGTTCAGGAACTTCGGGTTGGTCACAGACAATGACCTCTCTTTTTCTGGACTAGGAAAAACCCGTGAGACAATAATCCGTACAAAGGTATCCCCGCCGTCATATCCTCAAGTAGGTATTTACATTCACGTGATATACATATAGAACAGTTATACAACTTAGAGATTTTCCAATCTATTTTCTTTTATCACTAGCATATGTAATGTTTTTTATAGAATTCAAGAAATGTATACTTTGTACTCCGTACGAATGTCAAGAAGCACACTAAATCAACATACATTTATATCTGTTTTTAGATGCATACACAGATTTCTTTTACACGATCTATAAAAACATCCAATTTTCTTTTTGCGCGATTTTGTTTGATCTAACACGGTCTTCATTTAATTTTAATTCCAAGTGGAAATACTTTTTCCTACAAATTGTTCGTAATTACAAACATTTATTTAAAACAAATGCAAAATAAATGGGTAAAAAATATATTTTCTTAATCGAAATAAATTTTATTCGGTACCCTTGTGTCTCTACTGTAAGTATCCACAAAGCTCATTTTGATGAGTTTGTTAGTTCAATAGTTACGATTTATTGAAGAAAGATTGATCCTAAATTTCAAACAGTTGTAAAATCAACAATTTTTAAAATTTTCAGAAATCCTTCGAGATACGTTTATATATCGCTAAAAACTAAAACATATCGAAATTTGAACAAAATCCGAAATGCTGCTCCAAAAAGTGTCCGATTCCCGTGGAATGACCCAAATACTATTGAAACTTAAAAAACCGTAATTTCTCGCAAATACACCTATAACTTTTTTACGCCTATCTATTAGAAGATTTCAAGACGAATTCGGTAAGTGTCATAAAATAACATGTGTTACTCTTTTTTTAATTGAATTTTTGAAAGAAACTTGAAGGTGACCTTGAAAAATCATGAAAAAAAAGAATTGACAAAAAATTTGCCATAATCACGTTAAAGCTCTCTTAAAACCATGCTATACCTGATAAAAACATTTTCGATCGGACTGCTAATAACAGAGTAATCTCTACTGATCACGATTCGTGGTTCACCCTGTATATTTCTCTGATATTTCGTGTAAGTAGGTTTCAAAATTACCTGTTGAGGTGGTTGTTTCATCATCGGTACCTTCTGTTCAACTATGTTCAAACCTTCGCATAATTTCTGGTCAACAGCCGTTATCTGTCCCTCGAACTTCTTCGCCAGAGGCGCGGTAAGAGGGATAGCCGTGGCAGTCGCATACTGAAGTCCAGCTTCGGCTTGTGTGAGCGCCCAGTTAATTAAATGATGCGAGTCTTTCAAATACGAATACGTGGATCCCGTTTTCTCGATCGCCGAGTGGACAACAGGAATGTTTTTCACGCGATCAATTACTTCGAGATGCGGCGCGGTTTCGGACGGGACGTTGCTTTTGTCTTTGGCTTCCGCCATGTTTCCTGAAAACGAGAAACATCGTAACAACGTTAATATGTATTTGCAATGTGTAACTGTTCGATAATTTAGCATGAAGTTATTCTATACAAATTGCGTGCACAACACAACTGACGAATTAACATATGAAAAATAAAATCAGTATTTGAGCAGAGCGTTACACAACGAAATAAAAAGGTGGTGATCTCTGACTTCCAGTTTAAAACTATTCCTATGTTTTTGTTTCCTAATATCAAAATAAAAAGGACTCTCTCTGCAGAACTTTTGTATATTTAATACTTGCATAATTGCAATTTTATCTGTTGCCACGTGTTATATCATGCTGTATCATGAGATCGAAAGTTCAACAGACTGATAAATTAACAGCGTCAAATACCACGATTGTTTGATAGCATGTGTGAGAAATAAAACAATTTAACTCAGGACTCGTGCACAAAATATAAACGAATACTGACATTTAAAAATAATAAGAGTAATAATGATATTAGAATGCGAGTGCAGATTTGAAATTGAGTATTTTCTATAGAAATATTTATAATTCTAATGAAAGCTTAATAAAAAAAAAAGTGCCATTTTTGTACAAGTGCTGAGGCGTATACCAGAAGCAGTGTGTAAGAGCGGAGAATTGTGAATGAATAAGACAACGTTCGATCATGGTAGCATACATAGTATGTTATGTACTCAACTTGTCACGAGATTATTAGTGTAATTCATGATAGATCCGCTGCTTGAAAAAAACAATCGATTAAAGTTATCTGTGTCTAGACTTCCGACAAATAATGATGAAATGTAATTGAATATCACATGTTAGTGATTTTATGAGTGAATAATATTGCCATATGCGCGTTGCATATACACATTTACAAAATTAATACGCTCGTTACAGAATTAGTACATTGTTAAAATGTTATTCGTGTGATACTCCTATTAACATAATACTGTTTGTCCTCTGTCCATATGCTTAACACGTTAAGTAATATAAGCGTCCACTATTTTATTCAAATTTGACATCAGGTTCGCTATTCGTTGAAATATTGTCTAAATTAATGAAAATTCAAGAGTTAAGTCATACGTTTCGTGGTATGTTACAAAACGGAGTAAATCCCACTCTCTTCCGCTGTTGGATTATCGATTTTTATCATGAAACATTCAATCCATCTATCAAGTACGTCACACAACGTTATACGACGTATCGCTGAAGATTTTTTATACAGAACCATGGGAACTAAAAAGAAATCAGTTTTAAAATATTTTTATATTACCTGTACTCTAACCCCCTCCCCTTAACATGTATTTAAAGAAAACATATACGATGTATTACATACATAGTTCTATTTCTTCGTACGGGTATCATTAATTATTATTACTAATTTTTACTTGTTATTAACGATTGCACTCCAAAAGAGTTTACCTCCCAAATATTACATTTGAACAACTATAAAAACAATTAAGTAGACACATTAAATAAATAAGTAATTTATCAGTACGTTTAAATACATTTATCACCATTTCATTTAAAAGAATGAAAAAAATATCTAAAAAAATACACGAATGGAATAATATTAATTAAGGGAGACTGTGGTAATGAATAAATACCTACATATAAGAGGATAAAAGATACATTCGTATAAATTAGAAGTATGCTGAGTCAATCGATCGAACGAAAGTTACATTTCTAATGAATTTATATCGTTATATACTCACAGAGTTTGATGCAACAGTTTGCAGAATGCGGTAACGGGAGCACAGTTTCACTCACTGACTCGTACGATAGATTCAACGACACTGATGATATATCTACGCAGAAAGATGTAAGTAGAGGGGATCGAGCAGTGGAAAATTCTACATTATATATCAAGTGGAAATACTATTATAAAATATTTTGATCAATCAATTACTCCTATTATATCGATAAACATCAATTTTATATAATTGCAGATTAAACATTTAAAGATTTTTGTTGAATACTTAAAGAAGACGTTTTTGACAATAATTTTGTATGTTACGATCCGCGATAAATATTGTTTACAGCAATAAATAAATGATTGGTTAATTCATGAATAACTTTCATTGTGATCATTAACAAATTACTAAATAGGAATTAAATAGCAACAATAATAAGGCAACTTAAAGTGAATAATAATTGTTTAGTTTACTAATCATTGTTACGTGCCATGTACTAATGTTAATAGCTAATTGTGTTGGACCAATATACATAAATGTTTAAACTGGGAAATGAAAGTTATTGACGACTCGACCTAATGACTTAATAATGAAAGACTCGTTATAAATTCAGTATATATTTCAGTATGTATTACGAAAACACAATTAAATATCACATACGGAATTAAAGAGTAATAATAATAGGAATAAGGAAACGATTGTAGTTATTAACGTGCGATATCTTTGACGAAATGATTCAGTTGTCTCAAAACCTAATCCTAATATTTATATTTTTGTGAACAGAAACACTGCTTCAACATCTGTTACAATTAATAATTTGTTTTAATGTATAAATTATAGCTCACTTTAAACTATCGCATAATTTATGGATACAGCAAGTAAACTGTGAATCACGATAGGAAATTATTTAGTATAATTTTTAATGCATTTTTAAAATGTACATTTCATTAATACTTTGTGTAGATTGAAAATTAAATATTGTATTACATTTGGAATTAGACTTACCATCTGGAAAGCAAGAATTAAAGGTAAAGTCATATACAAAAGAAATGATCGACCCAAAATAAGAAAATCTATTGGAAACAGAATAACTGTATTTTAAATCAAATATAAGATTTTTACGCAGAAATCGAGCACATCGAAGGCACTTTATTTTGCGTCTACATCAGTGAACACCGCATGCGCTCCTGAGCAATGGCACGTATACACGTATCCTATAATACGTATGTATTACTGGACTCTGACGTGGACTTCACTGCGTCATTTTCCTTTCTTTATAAAACTCGCAGAAATCTTCTAAATTAATGCAATATTGTCATCATTCTAAAAATCGTGATATGGCAGTTTTTCGTTTCGATATTGCTGCCATCGTATTTTGTATCGTAACGTCGTTATTAGTTAATGCTTGAAAATGAAAATATTTCAGAATTGAAGTATTTTCGAAAATTACATATTTCGAATTTATATATTATTGATATACAAATTATATATTTTCGAAATTCACTTTTCGAATAAGTCATATACATAAACTTAAGTTGTTTACATAAACTTTTCAAATAGACAGCCGTCGTGAGAACGTTTTTTGATTTTTGTAATAAAAATTTAGAACCGCACTTTAATATAGTCATGTTTAGTATTTTCTTTGTCATTTGAAATTCTGGAAACAAACAATCATTATATCGGTTTGCTAACAAACTTAAATTTATTTTATTCGGGTATACTCTACATATACAAAACGTTATAAAACTAGTCTATAGTTTTATGCTATTTACATGTGACAAATGCATAAACGGTTTAGTAAAAAATAAAAAAAATATCTTCGTTGCTGAGATGATATTATAAAAAAGAATAAACTATGGATGTTTGTAGAGTGCTGTACAAAAATGAGAATTAAAAACAGATTTATTCCCAGCATTAAGGGATATATTTGAGTATTATTATCCTAGATATAAAATAGTGCAATCATTTTTACGATCAAACAGTTGAGATGCATTTTTTCTTTGCGACTTATTTTTCCTCGGACAATTAATGCAAAATACAGGGCAAATGTTACTGTTTCATAAAGAATTTTTCATGCAAAAACTTTCAACTCCACTTTTGTATTTCTATATATATTCACGTATAAAAATCGTAGTAAGCTTTTAAGTCCAAAACATTTTCCAAGACGTATTATAATTAAAGGATGAAGTTGATAAAAACAGTAAAGAGTAACAGAACATATTTAAAAAGAAGATTCAAAACTAAAAATAAAATCAACGAAAACATATTCTTACTCGAGACATTAATATACCGAGACATTAGTTGTCTTTCTTTTCGGTCTTCGCTTCATTCGTCTGCGACGTGTGAGCTTGGACTTTTTCATTTATCGCGTGCAGATATTGCGTAAGATGTAGAAACTGAAGCAATGAACTGATGTATGACTTTAAATTGTCCGTAGAGATAGTTCCCATGTGTTGTACTATGTTCGAGTACACGCGTCTCGCGGCTTTATTCGATAAACGTCCGACAGTTTGTAACGTGTGGAGAAGTTTATCCTCTTCATCTGAGGTTATGACTGAAATTCAAGGAGAATATTATTATTAGGGTTTTTTCAACTAACTAATACGATCAGTTATCGATTATTGTCTATAAGTGATACCGAAATATTTCATAAAATATTATATGGTTGCAAAATATTTCGATCAATATTGATGAAAAATAATGTACACGTGGACCTACCTATTGACTGTTCGTCTCCCGTCGCGGGAAAATATTTATCGATCAACTTGTCGACGAGATCAGCTGTATTATCCAAACCTTTGACAGCTGCGCTGCCATATTGCGTTCCCAAGATCTGATTCGCCTTGTTCCAACTCTTATCCCTCAAATTAGAGGCCTGCATGATTATCAGATCGTTTACGTGCGAAATGCTCACAACGGCCGGATGAACGGTCTGGATCGCCAACATGTACGCGTTTTCTAAAATCTGAAGTAATGAAGAATATTTGAAGGATCGATTCATTGTATTAATAACAATTTCATTTTGTATTGATAATTAACGAAACGTTCTATAGCGAATAAAACGAACAGAATTATCGTAACAAAACGAATTTCCTAATCAACAAAATATCGTGATTATTCAATCGAATAAATTACTTTATACTATTTTTACTAGTTACAAAAAAATAAATAAAAATCATAAATAAATCAAAACACTTGAAATTAAAAGTATTTCATTCTTAGATAACAAATAAAAATATTTAGTTACCAAAAATAATTAAAAATATTAAATTGTTAAAAATATTTTGTTAGCCAACATATTTATGTATTTTATACGTTTCGGATTGATGACAAACATTTCCAATTTTCTAAGAAGGTAGGAAATTCTATATAATATATATAAAAATGTATTATTCCTAACCTGCTCAGGTTTCTCTTTGACCATCGGAACTTTTTCTTCGATTTTGTCAAGACCAAGGCACAACGTGTGGTCGACAAAGTGTATGGGGTTCTCGAGTTTCTTGGCGATGGGTGCTGCAAGGGGCACAGCTTGTCTCGTCACAGTGCTTATAGACGTTTCCGCCGTGGTTAGAGCCCAGTGCACCAACTGATTACAATCTTTCACGCGGGAGTACGTCTCAGCCGATTTACTGAGGGCCCTTTCGACCACCGGAAGTCCCAAAACGCGATGAAAGACCTCGAAGTGAGGCAGCTGTGCAACTTCGGTCGTCATTCTCGCACGATTTTATGGAATCCAAAATGATTCGAAATTCTAAAAATATATATTTATCTTGTACAGAAAGTGCTCCAGAGATGATCTCCGTAATTGTTTGTTATTTCGAAACATATATCGTATATACTGTATTCTAGATCGAAACAACTGTTTCAAAAAGCTGGTATTATAAAATGGAGTTATACAGCTTTTATGAGTTACAAAATCAAGTCCCAAAATTTATATTCATTTCATCAATCATAGACTAACTGTTAGACCTAAAATAGCTGTAAAATGGGCGTCTTCAAGGCGTGATGTGCTATTTAGGTACGTACCAAAGAAATGTCATTGTTATTATTACTTTCGATACAGTCATCTAGCTGTAGTAGAAATTAATCTTGAGGTTCATAATTCGAGTATACTTATAATACAATGTCGAAGAATAGTACATAATAACAATTATCAGCCTTTGGAAATACTAGACTAATTTACTAAAATTCTGATTAATTCGTAATTTCTGTACGAATTGATCTTTTTCGAATAGAGAAAATCGTCAAAATATGTTTGCAAGAATTCTATTTATCTTTTTTTCACACGCCTAAAATTTTGGAGTACTCACTGTCGACAACTGAAATAAATCGTTTCTGTTTTCGTTCAAATTACAAATTACACTTGATTTACTGGATACAAATGATTAGACAAATTTTACGGTTAATTGAAACATCAATATCTGCTTTAGTAAGATTTCAGAGCAGAACAACGGCAAACATGGAGAACGAATAAACGTACCGGCGATAACGCGAGGGTCAACGGACTAAATGGATATAAGATACACATACATGTATCCGCTATATATAAACCCGTTACTTTCTCAGCTTTCACTAAAATCCTGATTTTCCTCGAGCCTTTACGCGATAGAACCGGCAGACAGACAATTATAGCTCGGCGCGTTTGAAATCGAAAGTTGTTACGAGCTGTCTCAAAACAAAGCGACTTTCTTTTCCGCGCACACCTTGTCAATTACCTACATTTCATTCCACTGAAACTCTACCAATTCACTATACCAATTCACTATACCTCTTATCGCCACTTGTATCATTCCTTATCATTCACCTAAATCCTCCATAAACAACTATGTTCAAATATATAAAAAAAAAAGCAAAAAAAAAAAAACGCAAACCCAGTATACGATAAATAAAAAGACAGAAAAAATAGCCTATTATAGACTATACAACGTAAATTTAATCACTTTGAGCGAATTTAAATGTGTAACGACCATAAACGTTCAAAACAATCGACCCATAGGCAAGTATCTACACGCAAGGTCTCTATTCTGACCTTGAGACCACGCCTAGAACCCGTAATTAGTTACACACGATCCAAATTTAGGTGGCCGGTGGTTATTATCGAATAAAATTATTTCGACGCGACAAAGATTACACTTACGCGTATTTTTTTCGTTTTGTTCCACTCTGTCGGTGTTCTATGCTACTCCCACACGTGTGTTCCGACGCGTTCGAAAACTCAAGTACAAATACACGTTGGACGAAGGTTCCATCAATACTTATAACCTAGTCTCCGCCTGCGCGTTGCGGCTCCGACGAATCGACCAATGGTGATCGAGCAGCGGCATCCGTCCCGGGCATTCAAACATGTGCCACGATGCTTCAAAGTCCGTTTAGTCGAGTGTTCGTGGATGGCGTTATCGGCGTTTGTGAATGGCCACTGTCACGGCGTAAAGGCAGAACGAAAATTCCCCCCCAATGACTTCGTAATCCGTGTCCCATCCACTTACCGAAGGGACTTTGTACGATCTGATTTCATTAACTGCATCGAACACACGTTTCGAAAGTAGTAAATTATACCCAGATATTTATGCTAATTCGTACTTGTTCTGGAATGAGTTTCTGAAAGCAGGATGTGCAATGGTATGTTTATCGTGTTAATGGTAAGACTAAGAAGAATGGAATGCATAGTTAATGATATTGTATACTATTTTAATATGTGTTATGTATAATATAAAATGTATAATTATGTGAAAGTTGATATGTATTCCTACAGAGGCACGTTTATCGATTTTGTAAGAGTGAAATAGAAAATCTGAAATCCGTTACTTTGACGGGTGTGATGATTCTAGTGTTACATTTTTTTTGTGATTCTTTTTATTTTGTTCGGTTATAGCTATCATGAAATTTGTAGTTCTGGTAGGCGTATCAGTGAGTAATCTGCTATCTTTTTAATAAAATAGCAATGTAGATTAAATTGAATATTTGTTCTCCATCCCTGTGCTTCGTAAATATAGCGTGGCAAACTTTTGGAATGTTCAACTCATAGGCACTCACGAAGCTCATGGTCATCGGTTTGTTAGTTCAACAGTTATGATTTATTAAAAGAAGGTTGATATTGTATTTTAAACAGCTGTAAAATCAAGAATTTAAAAAATTGTCAAAAATCCTTCGAGATACGTTTATATATCGCTAAATACTACAACATATCCAAGTATCAACAAAATCCGAAAAGTTACTGCAAAAAGTATTCGATTTCGCGTGGAATGACCCTATAATTTTTATTATTTTATATTTGTATTATACCAACACTGTAATAGAAGTGATGAACAATTTCTTTTACCTGAAACTGATGTAACAGCTGACCCGAAATTGTTACATAAATATTTAAATTGATGACATAGGGACTCATACTCGCGCAAGAATGTAAATTTTCATCTAGCTCTCCAGGATTATGTATTTTACAAAATTACAGGATGATAAAGGTCAAAGGAGAAAACGAGAATGGAGGTTCGCATGCAGGTATTCGTATTCTATCGTGCACACAAAAACGCGGCGAATCTAAGAATATGAAATCTAAATACATACAGTAAGACGAGCACGACTGTGACTCCAGACATTACACTTTATCAACTCTTCGAAAAGATCAAATCGTCGCAATTTTGCGGTTCTAGCGATAATTCAAGGCTATCTGTCTAAAGTCTAGACTTCAGAAACAGGAAAAACTAGATTTCTAGAACGGAGTACATTGGCCTGTATTAATCATTCGCAACTTTGCTGTCTCCTAACTTTGTCCCGCGAGAGAAAAATTAATTCTGTTTACGGAATTTTTTCAATCGAATAAAAGCTTGAACAGAGTTGCATTAGAATGTGTAGTCACTAATATAATATCAATAATCGACACTGTTTTTATTGATACTATTATTACAGTTATAACTCTAATCTATTTATGATAGAAAAATTATGATAGTTAAATTATATCTACCGGGATATATCTAAATTTAATATTTCATTTGACAAACTATTGTTTTATAACTGTTGAATTCAGAAAATTTCAAATGGCGTTGGGTCGCGAAATCCTTAACGTAATACATGTGCTGAATCATCTTTGTGTGAGTATTCGAGAAGGAAGGGCAAACTATCGCAAATTGTATCTTTATTGACAGAGATGAGTCATACGGAAGATACAAGAAGATGGCAGTTTGCTTCGGTTTGCTGTGTCGAGTCTGAGCTTTTTCTAATGTCGACTATTAATTTTCTACATACTATCGTATGTAGCTGGAGCTCATATGGAGCTTTATACTTTTTATCAATTTTACCAATTTAATTTAAGTACTTAATATTTTAAACTACTTTAAAATATTGAAATGGAAACAAGATTTACAAATTAGTGGAAAAAACAAAAACTTTTTTCCTTATTGTAAAAAAAATTTAATTTATTTTTAATACCTGAGCAAAAATTGAAAAGATTTATTTATTTTTTCATGAAAATATCATTTTTTGTAATTAAATAAGAAGTGATTAAGTTCTAAGTGTCAACTACAGTTCCATAAGGCTCGTGTTAAAAAGAGATTTTTATAACGTTTTTTTTTTCAATAATTTTATCGTTGACCTCGCGATTTTTTGATAGTGTGATTAAAAATGTTCTGTTAATTTTGGAACCAAATTTATAATTATAAAAAATTTGTGTGAGCCACCTTAAATTTTTAAGTAATGGACTTGTCCACTGAAATAGGGGAATAAGTATAGATATAGGGAAAATGAAATGGGAAAAACCCACACGTTACGTGGGTTATTTCGTGTAGGCTTTTTTCTCCGTGAGCAGAAATAACTACGGCCATGTTATTTTCCACCTGAAGCTCTCGAATATTTTGTAATCATACCATGTCCCCGTTGGACCTACGGTCGACGACACCCAGAAACTACTGATTCAAGAACAGTCTGATAACAAAATGATTTAGAATTCGAGAAATTATTTGCTTCGATGTCAAAGATAAATAGAAAAATAGATGTAATAGAAAACGTATTACCGTGGTTTACACCGTACGAACATACTATATATCGATACTTTTACGATTATACGATAAGCACCTGGTTTTTTTAATATATCCTATTGATAGAATGTTTATTATCATGACGGACTATCCGTCGAAAAATTCAGTGGCCTTTGTACACACACCGTGAGACGAATAAATAGTATCTTTATCAGTGCACATAAAGGTGACTTCGCTGATTTTATTCATCGTTCTAGAGCGATGGAAGTAGTATCACTTTAAAAATAATCGTAAATTATTTATAAAAAGCACGTACTCTATTGTATAGCTCTATACGTTATTTCGTTGCATGGGAAAAGTAACCTTGACATTAAAAGAATATTATTGTTCCCAAAGGATTAAGGAAGAGTACTTTTGTGCTTGTCTTTGTGCATTGTCTGTGTAGCTGTTAATACAAGAATGGATGCTGCATTTTGCAATAATAACTGTTTTTAAACCTTTGTGTGTATATCTTCTACGTGTAAAATTGTTTTATATCATAAAAATAATATTTTAACAATTGTAACGTATCAACCATAAAAAAATCTAACATAATTTAATTATCTAAAAATGAAGCATATCAACGCTCTGTATATGAACAGAAATGAGAACTCTACTTTGTTACGGAGTTGTTTAGCCCGTAATTGAAAATTATAAACTTAATAAAACTTAATGAAACTCAGAAGAAACAGGAGGACCAGATCCTCTTGGCGGTATTATAAGGAATAAAAAAGAAATCTTTATTTCTACACTTCCTTCCTTCGAATTATTACATAATATACACCAAAAGTAAACAATATTCACTAAAAATTAAACGTGAGAACTGAAAGCTAGCATGACACTAGTATACTGTGTCATCGATAGAATAATATCAATTACACTGTTCGACAAATTAAACCTTCTTTTCTGATATATAATATCCACTAGACGATTTTTATAGAGTTTCTTGTCCCGACCACGAATCTGGAAACAGAATTGCTCTATCACCCTCATGTGTAGCAAATTGGTACAAGATAAAAAAACTTTTCGTAAATATAGGCTCTTTTTTAAACTTCGATGACCATTTATGACCATCCAAAACCACAAAATTTAATAACTATATACACGGATATATCCAGGAAACTCTTCCCTATCGTTTAAGTCTAAATGGAACGATCAAGGGTTATTAGTTTTCACGCAATACAGTAATGTCTCGATGAGTGGCAAGGCGCAAAGGTTTTTCAGCCCCTTATAAATTTATTTTTTGCACGAAACCTAGCCTCTGCTTAGCTTCTGTTTACTCTGTTTTGATTGGTTCTAAAAGGGAAACCACCAGTGATGGAAATAACACCGTTGTTCGTGTGGCATTCATCGAGAAATAACTGTAAGTCTCTTTTCCCCTAAAATCATGGGTTTTTACAAAAACTCAAATTTTTCAAAAACTAATGGCGCCAGAACAATTCTGCTTCCAGATTCGTGTTTGGGAAGAAAAACTCTACAAGGACCATCCAGTGGATATCGCAGATCAAAATTCGTATTGAACAGAGTTAATAATTGACCGCGGGAACACGAAACACCGTACTGGTTTTTAATTCCGGTAATTTCGTATTGAGATCATTCTGATTGTCATTTGGCATTGAAACGAGAATACAAAAAGAAAGCTGACGCGGATCGTCTGTTAAGTGCTGCTTCGTTACTCGATACCATTCACGGGCGGATTGGAAGACACCGACATGTGGTTATTATGGTTCTGCTGATGACTCTGAACGTGTGTTACTTTACACGCATTTGGTCGACCGGCTAGGAAAGCTGCTAACTGCCCCTACGAAAGGATTTTCAAGACGTAGTTATGATTAAACAAAAATCAATGGAATTATACTGTAGAATCCTTCTATTGTTTGATCAATTATTGTTTGATCCTTAACTTGGATAATAGAAAAAAGTCTTTGTGGATTTAAAATTTACTTAATTCGTGTATTAGGTGTACCAATAAATAGTCCATTACCTAGTTTTAATCATTAGATGATATATATTTCGAAGTAAAAATGTCTTCATCACTTTTCCCTCATTGTCATTGAAAATAGTATAGAATGTTGAAAAGTCATGGTTAAAGTAAATGAAGCAGTACATACGCCTATCTTCGATAAATAATATTGATTTCTTCAAGAAATAATGGATCACTTATTGGTACACTTAATAGTATGCAATCAAATCTACAGTTTATTGTGATCATCGAACTAACTGCTAGATTTACTAATTTTCCTGTTGCATTTCATTTTAAGAATTTTCCAAAATTTTCACGAATTCTGATTGCTTAGGAACCATTATTTTAGAGTAAATAGGTTATTTCAAAAAGTTTGGCGTATTTTTTAATAAAGTAAATATAACATATACAAGCAAATACATTTATGAACGATAGCGTATTTTGGAATCGACTAAAGTAACTGTACTGCTCGTGTCCAACTTATTAATAAAATTACGCGAACAATCATTTTCAGGAATTAATATTAACTTCCACATACCAATAAATGATTCGTAGTTGAATTGAGCCTCCGTACAGCCGAGCGTATCACAGACATTCTTCTTTTCGCTGCGTTCTTCTTACCAATGACCGGCACCATCTTGAAAAACCCGCGAAGAATAATCGAGTTCATACAAACAGTTTTGACTATCGGTTAAAAGTAAACGGTGCAATAATTCTGACTATAAAGACCTTTAATGTGGCGTCTGCAACTTCGAGCAATTGGTGCGACACTCGAACGAGAATCCGGCCAAGATCGCGCGGCGTTCTTCTTGCTAATGTCGCTGTGCCGTTCACAAGATGGACGATACGACGCGCGGATTCACGCGTCAATAAAACCAACAACTGTTCCAGAGTGGCTGGTCGAGCTTGGTTTTCCGGTTCCGGTAAACTCAACGTCGCCCATAACTCCTTTGCCTTCTGATATGCTAATTTTGGGTCTGTTGCCAGCTGCAACGCATTAACTTTCTTTATTCCCGCATGAAATAACAATAATTTTTAACTTTTGTATATTTTACGACATTGTAATATTTAAAGTTTGCACAGTAGAATGTAAGTAAATTGACATATGGATATTAAGAAAAATTGATTAATAATAGACGTAACTAAATAGACAATTAAATTCTGCTGACAAGGGAACATAATGCCAAAATATACCAGACGATGACCGATTTTTATGCGACTTCGTTAGAAAATAATTCCCATGAAAATATTTTACACGTTTTTTTTCCTTAGGTATTATTGTCCATTGAATTGGTGAGAACAGTGCTCAAAGTTAGGGGTGCGGAATATATTTGATCGATTATCTAGGAAGTTATTAGGGGTAGGAAAGTTGTTTAAATGGCAATATTGCGTGCTGTTCGATGGGGGATCCAGCTATGTTGTTAGATTCCTGAAAAGTCTATATCGTAATCCATCTAATAATATTATTAAATATACTATACTATACAGCTGAATTTTTTAAAAACACACAATATTGTTATGTAAGCTATTTATCTACCTCTAGTAGCTTTCGAGATGTTCGACCAAATTTATTTCACACCCCTAACTTTGAGGGCTGTTTTCGCCACTGTAACACGGATAATGGCAACTAAAAAAAAAGACGTGTTAAATATTACATCTTCAAGATCAGTATTTTTTAACGAAACAGCATCACAATCGGTGACTGTAACTTCGGTATGCTCCCTTGTAGGAATTGATAGGCGTTGTTGATCAGTGAACAGTAAGCTTGATGTATTTATAGCGTCTGTAAATCTATAAAATAAAACTACAATATATAAAAATCTTGACAACAGAATTATTAATTCTTGCTACTATTTTTCTTTCAGTACACAATAAAATCTGTAGTATACTTATTCGTGCTGTGTATCGATTTCGTGCAACAGTGGAGGTTCGGTTGCAAAAACTTGTTTTCGAACGAAGATTTACTAATGGATTTCTTTAATGTTTTGCCTGCGTGTTTATTAATTTTTATTAATTTTACTTTCATGACGGACGTTACTTACCAATTCTGCAACGTATAAAAGTACATGAATGCATTCTGTTCCTTGCTCTTTAAGAGCACGAGCCTCTGCTAATGTGCGGCGTGTTAATCTCTTTTGTAGCTTTCTCGATAATCTGGCACCGTGTTTGATAGTGCGTGTGGTTTTACTAATAGCTTCGGTGGTGTTGACATCTGGAACATTATTTTCGTTCAATATTTTTTTCATATTCTACGTTACCTAGATTGAAATGTTTCGTAAAACATTTTCTTTTTTTAAAAAGACAACACTACAATCATGCATATACTCACGGTATTAAAAAGATTTTGGAAATTGATTTGCATTGAAAGAACGATTATATTATAAGTGGATCAAGAGTAATGGTAAGCAAATTCTTAATAACCTAAAATAGAGCAATTTTAGGACTACATAATATTATCGGTACATTGCGAATGTTTATGTAAATATAAATTTTCTAGGCTTAATTTATAAAAGAAAATGGAATTAAATAAAAGTCCATTTACTGTATCAAGATTCCCAATGAACTCTAAATAAAATACGAATCGCATTAAACTTTATTAAAGTCTTTATTGTAATAGCCATCGAAAGCATTAGTGATATAAGTCAATGAATATGCTTTTGAGATATTTAGAGAATTCGACAAGTTTTTGTTTTACCCCAATTATTTTTACTGCTTCCATAATCCCCTTGGGTCTTTTATGTCCAGACCTATTTTTTTATCTTATAGGCTTCCAAAAAATCAGAAAAATTCAGGGACACGTCCCAGAGTTTCTACTACATAATCTCTAATAGTTCTTAAAGTTGAATGTTGAAAGGTTTTTTTAACAACAAACCCTTCGTTTCGGAGATATTTGAGCGTGAAATTTCTCTTGTGCCATAAAAGATCCAGGGGGTTACAGAGGGTTAGATGATATATTCAAGACTTGTTGTCGATATATTTGAATGTTAATTAAAATTCATAAAAAAAAGTGACTTACCCCCATTAATGCCTTCAAGAACTCAATTGTATATATCATTAACCTAGCAGACTGAATATAATGAAAAATTATAATTTCCAGGTAATTTCTGCTCTCTAAAACAATTCAGGCAATAATCGCGAACGAAACACTTACCACTACCATCTACTTTGTCGGCGTCATCGTCGGGCAAATAACGATCAACATATTTATCCGCAACGGTCAGTGCATTGTCCAATCTATCCGCAGCAACATTCGCAGCATGGCTACCTATCTGCTTCACGCTTCCGGCCCGCATCAGAACCGGCCTAACGATTTTATTGTTCACGTATTCCTTCGCGTTCCAGTACATCTTAATAATATAGAAAATAAATTGTACACTTGGAATGAATGAAAAATAAACGCTTTACGAGACAATTATTGTTTCCTGTATGAGTGAATTTCGTTTAAGAAAAATAACCTTTTACCTAATCTCTGCCTCTCTCTGTCCTAGAATTAATATGTTGTATTATTTCTATAAATATCAATTACTGTATTTTTCTAAGCATAATTAAAGAACCCCAATTAATACCTATATTTATTATTAGAAGTTTGTAGGATTTTGTGTTTCTTAAAATAGTAATTTTGCACGGAATAGGTGCTCATTTAAAGTTTTTCGATATTGACAGTAGTTTTTGAAATTTAATTTTTCTAAATAATCTTTTACCTGGGTAAATTAGTGAATCTTAATGATCACACGAGAACAATCAACCTTTGTGCACTGTTCAGTATGAATTTTACCTCAAACAACATTCCAATAATTATCTTAAGATTAACTTTAGTTTTAATACATAATTATCTATTGGATTTTTATGTAATAATTAGACTCGAACTGTACACAAGGGTTAAAGGAAAATAAAAATGAGGCGATCTATCTTGTTACGCAACAAACACAATTAAGATTCAACTTAAGCTCCCGTAAGTATCTTCCTACAATTATAACAATTTTTAGATAAATAGACAGAAAAATGAAAAATCATTATGAAATGATTTCAATCACAAATTACGAGTTACTCCTTTTTGATAGGTTAAAGTATACGATATCTAGTGTGACTATTTCTTAAATCTGTTAAAAATTATAAATATTTTCAATTACTCGCTCCAACTTAAACCAAAATACTGAATGATTTTCAATGATGAATATTTGAAAATCTCAAAGGATACATTTAGCTTTCCATGTGCATACATCTAAATATTTGTATGCACAGACACGTGAAATAATCTCACACATGGACGCATGATATGAACTTACAAGATGAGGAGGTAGATTAAAGGCAGGCACTCTTTGCTCAACGATGTCGATACCTTTACAGAGCAGCTGATCGATCGTCGTGATGGGGCCGTTTAACGCATAAATGGCCGGTTTCGCGGACGCTGTCGCGATCGCCAATGACTGTTCAGCGGTACCCAAACTCCAAGTCATTAAAGAGTTCGAACGCTAAACATTGAAAGTTTTATTAGATATCGCGCAGACCCAACACGTTTTATGTGGGTATATAGATAACTATAAGAACAAGTTATCGATGCCTAGATTTGAAATAAATATTACCGAAACGGAAATAGGAACTAACATTGATTTTACTATTATTTTAGGCATGTTAACTGAAATAATATTAACTATGTGAATAAAAAAATTAATTTAATACAATGCATTATTCTGTGTTGATGGTAACTTATTAGGTAATAATACAAACTTATTTGTTGAATAGAAAACCCGCACGAACTTTTGCCGAGACCTAATACAGTGTCCAAAACAATTAAATTATCATGCAGTGTACTCCCTGTACTCATCGTTGTGACGTGTAATCTTCGAAAATTTTTTTATATAAATCTAACTAGATGTTAATGGTGTTAGTAATGTATGGAAAGGATATCAATTTATTAATCGTTTCCTATTCCTTGACGAGTACAACAGGACCACCTACATTGGCGATCAACCCCTTACATTATAACATGGAAATATTATTTTTTTCGTATTAATATTTAACTTTTAGAATAAATGTACATTTACGATATGTAGAAAATTCCGTCTGCTTCTGGGAAACTATTAACAATAAAGTAATTCTCGTCAAGAAAATTGTACGGCAAGGGGTTAACACTTTTGACCAGTGTATTATTTTGTAATTTCTTCAGTGTATAACATAACGTGTCAACAGACAGCTGTTGTTAACCTTCTGTCTCTTGTAGTTAAAAAGATGAAAGCATTTTCAAGGTAGTAAGAGTTTACGAAAGTGAAAGGTGAGAGAAAGTGATGCGATTCATGGAAAAGTCAGAATACACACGAAACATCTGCATGACTAGTTCTTACCTTTATCCTGTCGTACACATTACTAGCAATGTGTATACCGTTCTCGACGATCGGAATACTTGAAATTCTGGCGACAGAATCGAAACGCGGCAAACTAGTGTACCGCCTCTTCACGTTTTCTCGTGCCATTTACACATAAAACGCTGGAAAAATGTCAGTATCGTTAATTATAAAAAATTATTTACACTGTCGAACAATTATTAAGACTATTATTAAATCGTAAAAAGAAATTAACATAATGAAGAGATAAATAGTTAAATTCGAAAATTTTTCTAAATAAATTATAATTAACTATTTCTTCATCACGCGTAGAAGATTTGAGCAGACTGTGGACTTGTTCATGCAAATACAAATTTTTATAAGTTTCTATTTATATTTTTTCCCTGAAAACTTATTCCGTAGAAATATGAATTTATATAGACAACCACGGTCTAGCTATAAATCATTTTCTTTAAATCTACACGTTAATAAATATTCCTAATATTCGATGGAAAAAGTTACAGAGGGCAAGTCTGGGGTAGATAGTCTGGCATATTTATATTGTTGCAAGAAAATACAGATCGCGTCGTAGCTACAGAAAACTTTATCTGCAGACATAAAGAGTACATTATGTACATAGTGCACGCTTTATCGCAAATAAAGTCAATTAATCAGAAAGTCTAGCTATTCGAAGTATAAAGTACAACCAATGTTGCGAGTTTCGTATGAAATACAGATAATTTATTTAATTGAACCGACAGAAGACACAACATAATTGAGTCATAACACAATCTATGTACAACCTTATTAAGGACGAGTTGTAAACTATGAGGGAGATACATATTTTTATGTCTCGAACAAGCTATAAAGATATATGAAAGTATATTTTCTTATATCATTAAAGAATTACGTATGTAATAAATAATGTAACAAGCACAATAAACTACAGCTGACATATATGTAAAATAAAATTACCTAAGTACACATTAAACTAAAAATATAGGTAGATATAAAATTCAGTTCACGTTAAAATATACGTTATCGATTTATGTGTATGGTCATTTATAATATTCATTTCATATAATTATTGAATCCTTGTATCCAGGCATTGAAATGTTCGCAATATTTTGTCGCGTATTTGTGATATATTTGTCAATACTTTAAACTTTTTCTTTATGTTACATATAAAAACCTTAACGAAATCATGCAAAAATAATGGTCGACATATTCAAGTTGATATTGTGTCTTTGTTTCACTTTATCGACGGGTAAGTAATTGAACTGTTTCTATAATACAACAGAGAACGTTACAAAAAATCGGAGAAAAAGAAAATTCAACTGCTCAATGTTATTTAACCGTGATTATTATTTTGACAAGCGTGATAACTTACGTCAATAATACAACACTTTCCGAACCAGTTGACTGTCTTCGACAAAATTCATGACTAATTACAAACGATAATGGCCACGTCACGCTTACTTTCTTCCTACACGAAAACATTGGCAAATATAAACTATATCAGATAAATTTAATGAATTATAATACATTACTAAGTCATGTCTAAATAGTCGTGAAAATTGTTGCGTACATTTTCTATCTAGTATACACAGGCAACCGTGTGTCAGTCGATAAAAAAAAACACTTTTTTTTATATAAGTTTTTTACGTTGCTTCGACATCAAAGACTCGTACGTTACTATTTCATTGGCAGGCTGTTTGGTGGCTAACATTTAAAAAAGGAAACTGTAGGAAGAAATTGATAACAAAGGTCATTTTGCAAAACGAGTGTGCGTAAGTACATGTACCAGAACAGACAAAAACATGTTGATCATGCAATCAGAGAAGCAAGGAAGGTATCTCTGCTGGAGGATTTCCGGTTGGTGAAATGCCATTTAACGATACGTATTCTACCAAGTTTAGATCAGTCACCAGAGAAACCTGTTATATTCAACCCACTGTGGTAGTGCCAACAATCTGTTTTACGTCGATTAATACTAACATCGATCCTTTCATCAAAACTTTTCCCCCGGAATCTTCTAAACCGGTCTTAAGGCAACAGTTCCCATTCATGTTGACATACACATAGGTACAGTGGGTAACAAAAGTATTCGCACACCCTCTAAAACAGAGCAACTTTTTGAAAATTGGTCCAAATGATTTAAGTGCGTTCATGAAATTAGGAACACTAGTTTACGTTTAATTAAACTTTAAAAATTAGGAACACTATTTAATTAAAGCGCGAGTCTGCCGGCGAATTTCCCGCGGTATACTCGCGCTCTGATTGGTCGAGGTTTTTCGTTAATATCTCGTTAACAAAGCCTCGGATAACATTGTTGCTAAAGAAAAAGTTGTTTCAAATCACCCCAGGAACCCCTCATTTCCGGCAGTCGAAGCTACTTTTGGACACCCTGTATATTACGATGACGTCAGCTTTAAACACAGGTCGATACCCCTATCGTTATCAGCCTTATCGAAGCGCCAGCGTAGAATTTCGCGAACATCTGTGATCATTGCGATGAGAGGATCGACGTCAGAAATTCAGGAAATTTAGTAGTGCCTACGTTCCCTATTAGTTTTGTACGTTCGTATATGGATATCGAAAAGTAATCAATGTAGGCGTGGAAGATGATAAAATTACCCCTGAACAAATATTCCATACGAAAATACGCAAAAAAACCTGTCGAACCAATAATAGCTACTCCCATCACCCCGTCGATCGGTGAACACCTACCTCTAGGCGTGAGACGTCCTACGGTCGATCGGAGGGCTCGATCAGGATCCAATTATGTAAAGGAAATCGCGGTAGAATGAAACGTCGGCAGGATTGTCAGAAAAGTCGGTGTTTCGCCGTAGAACACGCCGCGAACTGCACGTCGCCGACTGCGAAACGGTAATCTCATCGACGTGACCTATGACACGACGATACAGGCGGAGCAGCCATGATGGCTCACGAATGATACTTTTCACAGCTTCTCCTGGCCCGATATCATCGATAGAAATATGTCTATAGGAGAGAGTTGTCCAACGATAGGACGTAATCATGGCGTTCGTTTCGTGTGGTGGACTCTCATCGTTGTGCGAAGATAATTAACCGTTTCGTTCCTGAATCATTTTGCAGATACAAAAAAATATTTCTTTTGTTTTGTATTTATGTTTGTATTATGTGACATATAAATGGTTCAGGAGAACAGTTTAACATTCTTTTTTAAAGGTCTAATGCCATTTTTCATTCGTTTTAATAAAACTGAATAAAGTAAATAATAAATAATTTAGTTTATTCAGTTATTATATATATATATATATATATATATATATATATATATATATATATATAATGAAACCCATGTTTCTTATGTCTGATCGGTAAACTCTTTCGAAATACTTGAAAGAAATTGAATGTTAATTTACTGCAATGTCTTATTTCACTAATAACCTTTTAAAATTTACGTCATGCCACCTGTGTATACTTAAAGAAATTGTTGTATACTCACAGATATGACAAAAATATATGATACTAATCTTTTATTTTGAAATTTATAATAGCCATATGGGTACAGTGGAAACGAACGGGTTAAATAAAGTCGATTTTTGTTGTAAAATGTATTTATCGATGTCTATAACCTTATTGAGGAATATTTGACCCAAGTTTGAGCAGAAATGCATTACTCGAGTTTCTGTTAAGAAGAACCTCTTGTGAATCTAATCTCTAGAGATGTGGAAAGTATTCATGATATTGGAATAACATATGTTCCATAAATGAGGAGAAATTTGACTAAATACACTCATTATCGATATATCTACATGTTTCTATTAACAGTTTTAAAATAATTTAAGAATTAACCTCTTCAGGGACAAATTATTAAGACCGAAAAACAATAATATTTTTTTCTTTTTCAGCTGCATCTATTTTAAATGTACATATGAATATTAATGACAACCAATTGGTAGGTTATCCTTTTTCGTTAGGGATTTTCCGAATGAATGTTTAATCACAATAATATTTATTGTATCTTTGTAATCAAACTTGAATGAAAGAAAAACTAAACGTAAACCTATGCGCCGATATCCCTCAATAAAGGTGGCTGTTTCAAAATAAAAGTTCTAGGTGTTTCACTACTTTGCAAAGTGTCATTATTTCACAAAAACAAAAATGATAATCACTACATTTTATCGATCACTGAAATTAAGATAAAGTTGACTATAAGAAAATTTAAGAAATTACGTTTGTGCACTATCATTGTGTTGGAACGGTATTAATACAGAGTGTCCTGTAAAGGGTGTTGTATTATCTGAAAAAAATAAATTGAAAATAAGAATAAAATTATGCCGTAACATGCTTCTTTTTCGAAATAATTGTGTTTAAATTTTGACCGAGTAGGTACGTCTGCACTGAACACCAGTTTTAGACCCTTGTTGAGCATAAGTGACTCAAGGGGAACACATTTATCGCTTGATACAGGCGCAGACCTACACACGTGGTCAGCCTGTCAAAAAACGAATTCCTTAAAAAAATATAGATATGTATCCCCTATCTGCATTTACCAATTCATTTACACATTTACGATTTGAAGGATATAATGCTTGGGGAAATTCTGATAGGAAAGAAAACTACGCGGAAAAACTTGTGATTATCAGCGAGAGACGTCCTTAATTGCTATACAAAGTCCACCAGAGGGAACATCCATTCGCGTAAATGGGATGACATTGTAATCAGTTGGAAACGTGTGAACAGAAATATACCTACTTACGTCTTATTTTGCTTGCGGAACGTCTACTTCGAAAGGAAACTTGTCACGATTCTGACGCGCAATGTGGATTCGTTAATAATAATAAACAATATAGAGGGTGTCCTAGACCTAACACCTAAATATCTTTTCTATTTTCAATGATATGGAGAAATGTTTCAAACACAGTTTTGAATGGTTCCAGAACGAGAGTATCCAATATGGAACATTTTTTTGGAAGATTCTTTTAGGTATTTTTTTGCCAGACAGCATGTATTTTTTTATTGCATCATGTGGAATGTGTTAAGGTGCATTTAAATATGTCTAATTTAACATTTTTTGATGCTTGAACATTCGGAAAAATAATGTAATGAAATTGTGAAATAATTTTAGGATGGTATGTGAACTTAGTTTTTATGCTAGAAAT